ACAACAAAAGAGAAAAATATATATAAGACAAATTGTGGAACCGTGTGACAAAAATTGATATGATTATGAGTGGCGATAATTTATGCTCGAAATGTCATCCAGTTGTTAATACTGCATCGCTGTGTGATAATTAAAATAAACTTATCTAATATGGAATTACGTTCTACCACAGTGCTTAAGTTCTACACTTACATTAGTAATAAAGAAGTAAAAAGAATCTCCATTTGTAAAATCTCAGCGAAATTGAAATGATTAATTCCAACGTTTCGTTCGGCAAACTGATCCTAACTTCTTCAGGGAAATTAATCGAAATTAACATAACAGAGGTTTATATATAAAAAAAAGACATCTCTTGTTTTTAAAAACTTTGTCCAATCATATGAGTCATGAACCATCATCATATTCATATTCAGTTATCTACGACCATGAACCTTTAGTTGAACGTAATCACTAAAATTCTGATGAAAAGTAGACTCTGTTTAAAGTGTTTAACAAAAGTATACTAATATTTATAAGTCTGAGGTCAAATTTTGATCACAGCTCATATAATTTTGTTTATTATATTTTCTAAAGTTTGGTTTGTAAGGGTTTGTTATGTTTTTATGAGTTGATCGCGAACTGATATCAGTTAGAGAATCATTGAAAACCAGGGAGTACTGGACAGCTGCTGTTTCATCCTATTTTGGGAATCATCGGCAGTACGCACCCACTGAGATTCGAACCCAGGACCTTCCGGTTACAAGGCAAGCTCGTATACCATTCAGCCACTGGGACCCGATTCAATGGCTCATGAATTCTAACTTCTACCAATTCGTGATTTAACGCGACCCCAAACATTGTCGTTGGTGGGACATCCATCCACACACGTGACATCTAATTGGACCTCACTGGTCACGACTTCTCACTAGAACTCCAGGAAACTCCATCCTGTAGCAAATCACTAGCGAGCATCTGATTAATTTTCTAAAGTTTGGTTTGTAAAGGTTTGTTATGTTTTTACGAGTTGATCACGGACTGATATCAGTTAGAGAACCTTTGAAAACCAGGGAGTACTGGACAGCTGCTGTTTCATCTTAGTTTTTGGGAATCATCGGCAGTACAAACCCACTGGGATTTTGACAGTTCATGACTCATATGATTGGACAAAGTTTTTATAAATGGAAAATGTCTTTTTTCTACATATGAACCTCTGTTAAGTTAATTTCGATTAATTTTCCTGAAGAAGTTAGGATCAGTTTGCCAAACGAAACGCTGGAATTACTCATTTCAATTTCGCTGAGATTTCTCAAATATAATTGTTACAAATGTCTATTTCTCACTCGGCGCCCAATTATTTTAGAACTATTCGGTCAAATCTTGATCACAATTCATATGAAAAAGAGTCTCGTCAATGAACTCTATTTAGTCTTTACAATAAGTACTTTGTACTATGTAGCATGTAAACTAATTAATCAATAATCTTGTCAGTTTAATTCTTTATTTAATTAAGTTATTTTTAAACAACTTTTTTTATCAGTAAAAGCGGATATGCCAAAGGTCATTTGTAACAGTGGTCAGCTACAATGAGATTAATTAATTCATAAGATGCAGATACCTAATTAATAAACTGGTTAATTGCAATTACAGAAGTATATTTAGGTTGAGTCGAGTTCATTGTTGATCGTCCACTGGGTGAGGAAGTCAATACACTAAAACAGGTCGACGAGTTTTGTGTGCAATGGGATTATTATAAACCAATTATAAAGTTATATCTTATTGCAGATGATTTCTGTCTCCAGTGTAACTATAGTAATATGTAGATTTCCAAACTGAAATCGACAACAGATAGGGATTTCAATGTTAAAGGAAGTAGGGAATTCGTCGACTAAATCAAACCGACCGATATAATGTTTTGCGTTAGTAACTGAAAGTTTTTTTCACAAGTGGCTGAACGGTACATACGAGCTCGCCCTGTAATCTGAAGGTCATGGGTACGTACTACTGTCCGGTACTCTCTGGTGATTTTTAGTGATTTTCTCTAACTGAAGTCACTTCGAAATCACACTTGAAATTTAAATGTTTAGACTAACTTAACTAGACGACAAGTCAACGCTGAATTCCGAATAAGGTTCATTAGTTAATGTTACATAGAAATAAGTTTACACTATAATCGACAGTTAAGTAGATGACAGAAAATGGTTAAATCAACAGTAGTAACATTTAGAATTTCAATTATCAGGATCAAATAAATATGAGCTATTGGAAACGGTTTGAGACAATTTTCAAGTGTCATCAACCATTGGTTCTTAGTAAACTGTGTACTTCAGCATGATAATCCTACACCTATTTACACGGCTCAGACAAATGATCAACCACCCCCCCCCCAGACTGGTTCTAAGTTTCATTATGAATAACCCCAATCGCTTTCCATCTCAGTCCTACTTTAGTGAAATAGTTCCTCGATGATGATGATGGTCCTTTGGTGTGCATGAGATTCATGTCTCAGTTGCCTCAATCGACAAACATTTAGAATCTCATTGTTTAGCTTACCTTTCCTGAACATCTTATCACTGAGTGACATCATTTTTTTCATCTAACATGAGCAGCTGAACAGAGATACCACCTGTGATCGGATATCTGTTACAGCTCCTTCCAGTTAAGGTGAAATAGTTATAAGTAAACATGAGAGAATACTTATGAAAATAAACAAATCAACAAGGAAACAAACTAGTGAACATTAAAAAAATAAAACAAACGCAATGAACATTTTTTTTAAAAATTACATCGTTTTCTAAGTTAACTGTATTGTTTGATTGATTGGACTGTTCAGTTATAATATCCGGGCTATTTGCGGGCGTTTGTGCATCCTCAGAATTCTGAGACGTAAGGATAGCAGTAAAGAAACAATACCGTAAATCAATAAATTTAACACATCCAATACATCCCGCTATATCATCTTCAGTCGCTAATTAAGGCTGAGTACTCCTTGGGTATTTGTTACAAAAATTCGCCGAAAACTCAAGAAAAAAAGAATTCAAAATACGTAAGTCATAAGATGTCATAAGACGGAGGTTATGAAAATAACCAACCAACAACAACAACAACAGCAACAACATCCAGCGCCAATCACCATCAACGGGAGGGATTTGAAAGAGGTTACTTCATTCACTTATCTAGGGAGCATTGTCTCAACCACAGGAGGAACGGACGAGGATGTCAAATCGAGAATCGGGAAGGCGAGAAACACATTCATCAACCTGAAACCAATCTGGAAATCTTCGTCACTCAGCCTGCATCAACAACTAAATTCGGATTTTCAATACAAACGTCAAGTCAGTCAGTTCTTCTATACGGATCAGAAAGTTGGCGGGTCACAAAGAATATTTCCAACAGCCTGTTGCAGACCTTTATCAACAGCTGTCTTCGTTCTATACTGAAGATCAGATGGCCGGAAAGAATCACCAACAAGAAACTATGGGAACAAACAAAACAAGAACCAATCGCTCAAGAAATATGCAGGAGAAAGTGGAGATGGATTGGACACTCGCTGAGGAGGCCGCTGGGTGAAATCGCGCGTCAGGCCCTCGAGTGGAACCCGAAAGGGAAGCGGCGAGTGGGACGTCCAAGGGTGACATGGAGGAGATCGTGTGAAGAGGAACTGAAACAGTATGGACTAACATGGATGCAGGTGAAAAGTACAGCAGAAGACAGAAGCAAATGGAGACGTGTAGTTGAAGCCCTATGTTCCACTAGGAACCCAAGGGAACAATAATAATAATAAAGTCATAAGATGTGCACCTTTTTTTATACGACGGCTGAACACAGAGGATGAAGTGGAAACAACAATTGGTCAGAAAGTGTAATCTAATAAGTAGATCAGAAAAGTCAAACTGATTAATTACTCTACTAGTTATCAACAAAAGTATCATGCAATATCTGTGCTTAATGAATTCAATCAGTTTAATAAATTTGGATCTTATTAAAAAAGGAGGAGAGGATCTGAAACATGGACAGAAAGTACAGTGAAAATGTTCAGGAATTTAGGGGTAAAATTAAAGCCAATTTGTCTATCTATGTCCATGGTTCCTCGATGTCAGCAGTCTCTAGGTTACACAAAATCTCTTATCATGTTTGAAATCAGTGTGGAACATTGTGCTAATCTGAATAAAGATTTTAAGAAGCAGTCACAGTTGATAGTTTGTTGGCATGGGATCTCCTTGATACCACCGACATGCTTTTGCCTTCGGCTCAGCTTGCTACCTGGACATCAAAATCACCCGCTAGGTTAACCACACCTCAGTATTTTACTTTTAGCAGCAAACTAGACAGCTTCTTATAAAACTCATCCCTTAATAAGCCTGTACAGGATTTAGTGGTTGTTTAAGCCGAGTTTATCAAAGGAAATCTTTTATTACTCAGTTGATAAAAAGTTACCATTTTTCATTGTATCTTGACGAAAAAATCTAGATATCAGACATTTTGAAGATAAATTTTTTTAAATTCCTTTACGTCCCCAGTGGAACTAGGTTCAAGCTAGAGGCTTGAAGTTTCGATAGCGGTGGCGTTTATTTTTAACGGGATGGGGTTGCTAGCCTCATGCCCAACCTTTCCTCTTAACCAGTCTTATTACTTGTTTAGCGAGGTAAAGGAGTGTGCCGGCCGGAGATTGAACCCCGGACCACATGCATGGTTGGCGAGAATCCTACTCCTGTGCCACTGACGCACAGATTAGTTATGATTGTCAATTCACACTATGCACTATAATTTATTGAACAGTCAGAATCAAACAGAGCACCCTGTTATCCCTATAAATTCAGAGTCTTCATTTAACCTCCAATGAAAGTACCTGAAAAGAGAAGTTGTCAGTGAATCAATAAACGACATTTCACAACCGAAAACGTCCTGAATTTGAATATTTCCTTGACATAAGACAAACATCCGTCAGCTTTTCTCAAGTGCTATGCAACATTACTACTACTATAGAGTAGAACATATATTCGGTAAGTAATAATTATACTTACCCTATTTAACTGTTCAGATGTTTGTTTAGATGGTATTGACACGGAATATTGATACATGCCTAGTGGAATAATGCCAAACTTAGACTTAGTTGACGTGTTCGTTTGCATTCTAGCCAGTTTCTCTGAACTTGGAATATACATTTGTTGTGATTCACCTGATTCACTCTGTCCATAGTGGTCATCGTCTATAAATCGTACAACCTTTGTATTTGTTCTTGACATACGTTCACGTGGAGATGAAACTAGTTGGTTTACAGAAAAAACAAGTAGGAAAGAAAGGTGAAGAAAGTATTTATAAATCAAATCAGAAAGTTGATGCTAAGTGATAAGAACGTGTTTGTATATCTGTTGACCGTTAAGGTTTACATTGGTTCCTTGAATCCCTTAAATTAGTATTTCAAGACGACTTTTCACAACTACCGAAATCTGTAATATCCAGAAAAGTAACTGAAAACAATGGAGTCTAAAAAGCAACGAGCACTGACATCTTCCAGAATAATGCTTAAATCTTTACTACTTAGAGACGAGAACGCTACGATTCTATCATTGGCTTGTACTTCAATAGTCTACAGTTTTCAATTTTAGGTAACTCGTAATATACACTGATTGTTGGTGTGGGGATAAAATACAGTGGGAGAATGTTGAATTTGATACAATGGAATCGGAAGATTTCTACGTAAATAACCTGAACAAAACACACTTCCACTTTTCTGTCTTTTGGTTCCATATATATATGAGCTGGTTTCATGTCGTCGCCAATCACCCTACTGAGATAGTGAACTGTTATCTTTCACTATTCATAAAGCTGAGTCTTAATGCATCAGTAATTTGGTCAGCTATTTAAGTTAAACATTTTGTAATCAGCAAGTCAGAGTATTTCCTTTCTCAAAGTGTTTTACTCCTAGAAAAGCCAAAAGCAGATCCTCTTTCCAGTTGTGTTGTTGAACACATTAGTCATGCTGAAAACCGAATTTACACACAGGTCAATTACAGTGACTTCACAGTGTGATAAGTGGAAATCGCCTGAAACATTCAGGAATAAATCTTCTGCATGGCATTCCGCATGTTGAAGAAAAACTTTCGCAAACAAAAAAAAATTTTATGCAGTTCTGAGATTCGGAAAGGATGAAACTATTCTGAATATTTTAACTTATAACACTAAGAATCTTTTCTCTCATTTTGTTCTTACAATAAGAAGCCTCTTGCCTTCCATTGTTTTACAATTCTGATTTTTCATTGGTAAACTGCAATCTATATTGTTTCAACTATGATATGGCGTATATGGCTAAACAATAAGTAAAGAAATAGTCCAGTAAGTTACTTGTGTCATTTGCATTAGTGAAGTTTAGGTTTCATAAAATTACTTGGTCGATAAGAAAACACTGGAAGAAAAATACAAGAAGTTTGACCTGGATTTAGGAGTATTCAACATCTTTGAAGCTGATTGCTGCATTTGACGGCATACAACAAATTGTTAGGACATTCAAATTACTACCAGTAAATAATCTCTGTTAGTAGCCAACTGATCCTAAAATTTACTTCAGTCAAGGGAGGAGGATAATGAAATCACATTCATTAATTGACCAAACGAATGAATTTTTAAGTAAACAAGAGAATACTATAAAAAGAAAATAAAGATGTGTAAAACGTACTTCCTGCCAGATTTTCATCACTTAAACGTAAAACAGCCGTGCGTGGTCTAACAGGATCATTAATTGAACGTGGATATAATGGGCGCTTAGCTCGTCGCCTATTCAACCGCCAAGGATAGGTGAGTGTAACAGGTGATGGGGAACGATCAGTAGAAGATAGTTTGGAGTGATGAAATAATTCGACAATATTTCTTGATTTAGATGGAGAAGTATAAGGTTTTGATGCTTCTTTGGTAGTTGCTGCTTTTGACTGCGTAATACTTCGTGATTTAGGCTGATTAGTGATTTTAGTGCTTGGTCTTGACATTCGAGTAAAAGAAGTAGGATGTTCAAGTTTCTGAAGAAAAAATAGACGAATGGAAATTAAATTCGAAACTTTAGATATCATGAAAAAACTTAATCACTAGATCATCAATCCGAAAGCAATTGTATTCCAACATATTAGTTTGTTTATCAGGTATATCACACAATGAAACAGTATTATTTACTGGATGACGTTTCGAACAAAATTTATTGTTCATAATCATATCAATTGTAATTACACGACTTTGACACTTGAGTTTTATAGCTTTCTTTGATTTCTCCTATTTGTCGTATGGGTAGTAGAATTTTCCAGATATCGGGGACAGGTGATGAATCATTCCTATTACATGTATTTGTAGTTGATTCGATAAACAAAGCTTCTGTTATCAATCTCTCCCTCCACCCTGTGACATTAGATTTTAGAACTGTCATCCCATCCAGCCTATTGTATGGTTGTGTGTAATTGCATGTAGTGGTATAGCTGAACTATTCTCTAGATTTCTTATTTTATTCGGGTCAACCAATCTAGATTTTGCTAAGTTTTTATGTTCAGCTAGTCTGACTGCTCCTGTTCTACTAGTTTGACCTATGTATTTGACCTGACAATCATTGCAGGGTATTAGATAAACTAAATTGTTTTGTCTTAAAGGCTCTACAGGATCCTCTAACCGACAAAGCTTGTTTCTAATTGAGTTTGTGGGTTTGAATGCCATTTTAATTCCTGCCTTGTTAAGAATTCTACGTAAGGCTTCCGAGGTTCCTTCCTTGTATGGAATTACTACTGATGATTTAGATTCCTTGTTGTTGGTGTCGTCATTAATATTACTATTATTATCACTATTATTATTACCATTATTATTGTTATCATCACTATCACTACTATCATTGTTTATTTTATTTTTACATTTCCTTACATATTTCTTGATTAATTTATCCGGGTAAATACATGTAATAATACATGTAATATCCCCGATATCTGGAAAATTCTACTACCCATATGACAAATAGGAGAAAACAAAGAAAACTATAAAACTCAAGTGTCAAAGTCGTGTAATTACAATTGATATGATTATGAACAATAAATTTTGTTCGAAACGTCATCCAGTAAATAATACTGTTTCACTGTGTGATATATCTAATAAACAAACTAATATGGAATTACTTACTACCACAGCGCCCACGTTTTACACATATATTGTATTCCAACATGTAATGACAATAAAAAAATTCTGACAATTTGTTGATATTTTTGAGCTTACTTTATGAACTACTGACTGAATGAGTTAATACATAGACGAGATTACGGGATATGCATGAATGATCAAACAACGTTCATACATACAACTAAAGCCTATTGGATTAACAACTAAATGCACACAGGTGCACAGTAGTAATTTCGAATATACACTTTGACTACTATCAAACAGCAAGTAATATAATGTTTTAATCCAGCATATTTCTAAAGCACTTTGCGTCTTGCAGTTCAAGATATATGAGTAATCATTAAGATATTGAGAGTAATGAGATATTATTACTTTTGACGGCCTGATTAAATCACAAGGCTGTGTAAATTTTGGGCAATGGGTATATGATATTCATCATTGTAAAAGTCTTTGTATTTCCCCAATGAATGAAAAACAAAACGATAATACAGTTCAAAACTGACGTTTAGTTTATCAAATCCTACAATCTATAGTTGATTCTGCTATCTTCACGAATTGACCAACTTGACAACGCGAAAATGACTCCATGCTGATGAACGATGATTAAGTTAATATATATAAGCTGAGATTTTGTAAATTCTGGTTTAATAATACTTTGATAAGGCTATTGATAGCATTAAATAGCGAAAAGTTAGTAAAAACAGCCATATCGTTTTGTTTCTCATTCATTGGGAAATAGGAAAACTTTTATAATAATGGACTGGTCTGTGACAGTTAGATACAATTTTTATTAGGAAAAACACGTCGCAGTTATATATATATTGACCACATTAAAATCGGCCCGACGGCAGTAGAAGTAGACTGTTCCAACTGATAGGCGAGTCGACTAAGGTAGGAGAAAAATAAATATTCTGATTGGTTGGCGATTTGGCCAAGACCAAGGTGACAAAAAGGACGATGAAATTTTACAGTCATCCGATCACACGATGAATCATAAGATGATGACTATTTTAAGCTGAATCTCATCAAAGCGAACCTAAGATATCCCAATTTATACATGATAATTAAACTCTCTTGATTCAGTGAAAAAGGGAATTAAATTTCATATTACTAACAATATCACACAGAAGGAAAGTAGCTCTCTTAGACGATATTTAGCAGGCTGAACTAATTCATTCATTTTACTGAAGATGAAGCGGTGTGCTTAAATCACAGAGTACAATGAGTCAAATTTACTCAATTTACCTTGTTTCAACTACCTACCTAGCGGTACCCAAGTGCATTTATGAATGGCTTTCAGTATAAAGATAGGTCTATTATGGAGCGACAGATCCGTTGGGAGGGGGGGTTGCAGCATTTTTCAGATTGAACAATATTCCACCATATGAAATACTGTCAATTACTATTTTACTTGAAGAATTTGTACAACCAGTCAATAAAACACACTGAAAATTCGGTGCTGTATGTAAATATAGTGCTCAGAAGATTAGGAATACCTGCCATTATTGTCAGCTTTAAAGATATCCTAACTTTCTTCAAATCTTTTAAAATTACACAGGAAATAACCTGTAGAATTCTAACCTGTTTATTTAAATACCTAACTTGGAACCAAAAATTAGCGGGTTAAAGCTTTAGCTCTACAATTAATTTTCCGAGGATCAAGTCTTAATTATCAGTCCTCCTGGACAATTATTTATGTGGTAACTCAATTAACTCTCATGAATTATACATATAATACAAGAAAAAATGTTCACAAAACTTACTTTTTCTTGTGTAACCTTATCAATGGCGTCATTGATCATAGCTTGTATACGAGCTTTCTCAGCCGATGATCTGTAAAAATATCATATTCAGCATAAAAGCATACTATGAATGGTGTTAGCAAGATGTATGTATACTTGTATATTATGATTTTGTAGGGATATTGATTAACTTCAGTTTAGATTTGGTCACTTAGCAACATCAGCTGCAGATCACTGAAAACCCGGGAGCACTGGACAGCCGTTTCGTCCTAGTTTAAAACTCCTCATGACTGTACACCCACAACGCCACCAGGGATCTAGCTGAAGACTTTAAGGTTGGGAGACCAAGCTGCCTGACCATTTAGTCACTTGACTGCACACTGTTGAAGAGTCCCTTCTACACAAGGACGAAAAAGCTGTACAGTGTTCCATTATCTATAACATACTGATTTGTGATGAAATCTACATTGAATTCAATCCAAATCCCAACAAGGTTCAATAATCTAAATATCAATCTCCAGTTCACCAATGGCTACTGGACAGATGTCTTGAAGCTGTACTGCAAAGTCATGACCACTGGAGTCCACCAGTGTCAAGCTGAAGTTAATGATCGTCGAAGGCACTGGTTGATGGTAGCGGTATATCACGAAGTCAGAATTCACAGGCCATCGGATACCGGCCCAAATGAATGAATGGTCACAGAGGTAAATACTTCGTGTACCAACGGAATTTCCTAGTTTTCGAGATCACACTATTATGCCACGATGTTATGATCACTTTTACTTTATACAAGGCAGTTGCTGATCATGTGAAGGGTTATGGGAAAATGAAAACAGCGTTTATAACGATTGCTTAGTGTGATTCAACAACGAATTCCAATCTCTATGATGCAGGAAAACGTTTTATCTGAAGTCAAATATTTTCTAACTACTGGATTGTTTTCCATTGTCAGTTATCATTAAACTTTCCTAAACGGTTAATAGGAGGAAATTGAAAATGAAAAGTCTAACGTTAAAATATATTTCCCTGAGAATTAAATGATTTTTGATATTTTATTTCCCGCCGTTCCCAGTGGAACATAGGGCTGCAAGCTAGAGCTTTTGAAGTTTCAGTAGCAGTGGTGTTTATATTTTACGGGGTAGGGTTGCTAGCCTCAGGCCCAACCTTCCTTTTTCGCCTTGCTTACTATACGGACTAAATGAGAAGTTAGCCGGCCAGGGATCGGGCCCGAAACCACTTGCGTGGTTGGCCAGTGTTCTCTACCATTGAACCATTGATGCAGAAAAATTTTCTTTACCGAAGAAATCATCTTCAAAGGTTGTACAGTCTTACTTCTATTTACCAAAAACGTATTGAAGTTTGTTACTGTGTTATATAGAGAGGGTGTGTGTGTGTGTGTGACGTACCTTATACAATTTTGACGTAGCTGTGATCTTCTGAGCTGGATGGTTTACCTGCGAAGCTTTCGTTGCCCTACTAGGCAACATCTTCAGCGCATAATTCAATTTGAAGTGAGCATTTGGATCTCTCCACGAGTTTATTAGTCATCTCTAATGAAAGCTTCGCAAGTAAACCATCCAGCTCAGAGAACACAACTACATCGAAATCATCCACCTGAGCTACAAATCTTCTCCATTATATCTATACCTTCTAGAATTATTAGGAAGTGATTTCTAAAGATAAAAAGTAACTGTGTAATAGTCAACAACACAGTGGCAGAAAGGGTTTTAAATTTGACGAGGTGAAAACTGTTATACGATAAGAAGTAATATAGTAGGATGTCCACTTGACATGTGTAAACAAGGTGCAAGAAAAAGAAAGATGAAGATGTTTTCATCGATAAAGGTGTAACAACAGAAGACAAGGGCCAGGCAACAGATCGTTTATTAAGGAAAATCAACACATATTTATAGATTTTAATGTAAATTATTGTAGATTATTGTTAGTAGAAAATACAGTCTTTTGATTGGTTGTTTCTCACAGAAAGTTAACCTTGCATCTCTTTGTGGCTGTGTCAGATCATCCATATGCTAACTGTATTCGCCTACGCAAAACCTTTGTTCTCATTTTCTCACCACAAATATTGGGGACATAAACACTGACGTCAATTACTATCTACCAACTTTGGCTAGCAGCCAGCTGTCACCACAAAGGGAATTCTCTTCGCTGAAATGTCCCTTTTTTATGAATCAGTGGGTATTTTCGGTATTTATCACTTTTATCCTACACTTTGGATGAGTATAAATCTTAATTTGGAATAACAGTAAATAAGTGCCCACCAGGATAATAATAATAAGCAAAATTACTTAACACTTGGACTGTAATCTTAAGACTTCATTACACTATATATATAAGCGATCATAAGTGTACTGGATTCTGGGCGCAAATACTCCCATACTTATCGACCTTGACTACTTCCCAGACATCAGGGACAAAATTTATTCGATAAAGACTAACAATTTTATACAGTATTAATTACTGATTTCGTTTCGAGCACAATTTATTGCTCATAATCACATGATATGGTATGGTTCTTATGTCTTTTAACAGTGACAGGTCACTGCAACTGAAACCCTATTCACAGGATTAGTAGTGAGCATTAATCTGCGCATATAGATATCCTGGTATATATAGAGACCATAGAACATGTCACTCAAGCGTAGCGAAAACACGCCTCACTTAAGAATTTTTTGCAACGATTGTCTTGTCAATTCATACTTTAGTTGATATCAGGAATAATTTAAAAGAGATCAAATAGGGCGTGAGATGTATCACTTACAAAATACAAGTGTTACCATAGTGATCATTTAAACAAACAATTCAATAATCAACAAACTTACTTATCTTTACTCATTAAATCTAATAATCCAAATATTGACTGATCAGTATGAGAAGATTCTAATGTAGCGAGATTATTTTCTAAATTATTACGTCTTCGATTTACATCAATTAGGGCTGTTGTAGCTTTAACAATCGGATCATCAGGCAAATCAGATATAACTTGGGAGATTTCATCAGGCGTTGCCATTGATTTACCAGAATATTCCATGGCAAGTCGAATACTGGGCAGCAGACTGCCAGGAGTAAGTACAGGTTGGGAGTTTGACAGGACCACATGTGGATCGATATTCTACAGAGAATGACATAGAAAATTATCCACATTTTATAGGTTTATGTATAAAATGACTAAAATAAAGAAATAAAAAATAAAAATCGCTCGATTGGTTCACACATGGAATTATTTGATTTCAAAGTAACTTCCACGACTAATCGACATCACTGCTGTGACAGAGTTGTTTTATTCCAGTCGTAAACATAACCTATGACAGTCATGTACAAGATAGTGGGATTTTCTTTGTACAAAGTGCAAAATTACTAGTTTCTGCAAGAGAAAAGCAACAAGTTGACAGAAGAAGCACCAAAGATAGGACTTCAGGTGAACATAGAGAAGACAGAGGTGATGAAGATTCCTGGCCAACACCACCAACAGAAACAACAACAACAACAAACAACAGTCAGCATAAATGGGAGGAACCTGAAAGAAACAACCTCCTTTACCTACCGACATGGGAAGCATCGTTTCAACTACAGACAGACGCAACTGACGAGGATATCAAAGCAAGAATAGTAAAAGCAAGACAAGCTTTCACTACTCTCAAGTCAGTGTGGAGGTCAACAACACTCAGCATCAAAAATAAGATCCGGATTTTCAACTCCAATGTGAAGTCAGTGCTACTCAACATACGGATCAGAGACTTGGCCAGCGCGTCCTAAAGAGCATCTCAAACAAACTACAGACCTTCATTAACAGTTGTCTTCGCTCAATACTCAAGATCAGATGGCCGGCCAGAAAAGATCAGCAACAGGGATTTCTGAGAGCAAACCAACCAGGAACCGATTGTGCAACAAATAAGCAGGAAGAAATGGAGGTGGATTGGCCATACTCTGAGGAAACCATCAAGTGACATCACTAGACAAGCTATTGCTCGAGTGGAACCCGAAAGGGGAGCGACGAGTTGGTCGTCAGTGCAAGGGTGACTTGGAAGAGGTTATGTGAAGAGGAGATGAAAACGTGTGGGCAGACTTGGAGCCAGGTGAAGACTGTAGCAGAGAACCGAACGCAGTGGAGACGCATGGCTGAAGCCCTATGTTCCTCTAGGAATTAAAGGAAACAAAAATAATAATACAAGTAAAAAGTTCCGTATAGCTAGTAGACATGGTATATTTATTTATCAGTCTTAGTTTATAAATGGAATAGCTATGTAGGTTCCTCAGTACTATCTCCTTTCATGAGTCGTGACGGTAAATGATATTTCACAACAAGATCTGGCAATCTGTTGTCAGCTGCATTCCACACTTAGATATCAATGAATAATTTTCGGTCATTTAAGGATTTAGTGGTTGACCAATTACCTACAATCCATTGTAGGAGCTACTTTTAAACTAAACAGTCCTTCTTGTAGTGATTTATCACTCAGTAACCATCCGAACTTCATTTGAATTGCATGCTATAAAATTACTTCTATTGTTTTAAGTTGCATGCCTCACTGGATCACAGTATCGGGTGAAGATCACAATATCGTAAACTGCCCCCAGTGTTGTTAAAAGTGAACCACTACTTCAATGAAAGAATGCCCAGTGTTTCTTAGAAATTAACACCTATACAAGTGCTGATTGGAAAAGACTTTGAATACAAGTGACAGGCTTGTTTTCTGAACTGAGGTGAATTTTCAACATAGAACTTTGAGCGAAAATCGAGTAGTTCGAGTTGTCACACATTTCAAAGTGTGCATAAAGATAGAGAGTGAGAGCTATTGGTCCTGATAATGTGACTGAGGATGAGAATAAGGCTGTTTATGATACCTTAGTTGAAAATGGCTTTCCAGAAATGTTCATAATACAGCATATGACTACTTAAAGCCATAAAGTAATTTTTTGCAGGAGCCACCTTTTATACGATTGCAATTTATAGGTGACATACCAAGGTAAGCAGTACTCAACAAGTTAGGGAAAATAAATTCAAAAAAACTTTTATTGTTGGTAAATTTATATTTTCAAAACTGAAGGACGAAGTGCTGGAATAGCCAGACCAATTCAACTACTCCTGTGGAGACACGAGTGCCCGGAAACATCTACCAGTGTGGCCAAATAAAGGTCTGGTAAAAAAACGCATTAACAGTTAGATATTAGCATGCTTGGTCCAAACAGACCACAAGGTCAGCATAGAAGAATATTTTTCTATCATCTATCCTGTAACGAATAAACCAACCGCCTAAAGTCGATAGGTAGCACTGAATACTGCAAACAGCGGAATCCATAGAAATTCGACTAAAACAGCCAGGAGGACTTTGTGTACAAAAGAAACAATTCCAGCCATTATCGCTGCCCTAAATTGCTGTGGAATCTATAAACTCCTGAATACATGCGAAAAATGGTCAAAAATCATACTCTCAGACCCCCAACACCCCCTCTATTCCCAACTCTCGCCTTGTATCTCATCAAGTAAAACCAGAAATCAATATAAAATAATCTATGCTCGTACAACCAAGTACAGGTGTGGTGAGAGCTGTCTACTAGCCATATTCGTGGACAGTAATTTACGTCAATATTTACGTTCTCAAGATTTGTCGTGAGAAAATATGAACAAAGACTGATTCAAAACCGACCACAGCAGACTTTGCGTAGGCGGATACAGTTAACATATAGATGATTTGACATTCAAGAAACAGTCACAAATAGATGAAAGATTAACTTTAAGTGAAAAACCACCAATCAGAGGACTGTGTTTGTTTGCTTAACTAATCTATAATAATGTACATGAAAATATATAAATATGCTTTGATTTCCTTAATAAACGATCTGTTGCCTGGCCCTTGTCTTCTGTTGTTACACAGGAACTCAACGATACCATACTTGGTCCGTGATCTAAGCGACAGAGACAATGTTAAGCGTAAAACCTATGACTTGCTTTGTTTTTAACAAAATAATTTTAGGCTCTTTTATTTCTCTCTTATTTTGTATTCTATAGTGAACACCTTCTCAAACATACTTAGCTACCTAAATTATTAACATTGGCTTCCTTTTTTGTACTTTACTATATTCCTTCTATTGTGTATCCACTGGTTCCGACTGTATTAGCACTATGAGTATTACAAAATTGTCCTGTCATTAACCATCATGTAATTATTAGTTTTGTGGTTGTTTTTTCTTATTTTCTATACTTTTCGGCAATATTAAACTGACAATCATTGGTTGTGAACGCCATAGTCACCACCTTAAAAAAAATTTTGTATTATTCAGGATTACTCACACTACCACTACAAACACTGCATTAGACCTGACAATAAAAAACAAAACAACAACCCTGAAATGTTATTTTAGATTGTTTAGAGTTGTTTCAATCAAATTAACTGACCATCCTGGCGATAAACATTCTTAAATATCATTTCATAACTTCTTGTATGACTATAGCTTTACTGACACCATGCATAATCATATCATAGCTTCCACTACCCAATACTGAGATATTATTATATGATGTTTATTTTCCTTTCTGCTTCTTGGTACTTTTTCGCATTTATCCTGTTTTTTTGCTGTTGGTGTCTTTAGATTTATTTTGTTTGTTTGTTTAATACTCTTTTTAAATGTTTGTAAAATTAGATGCAAATATTGTAGATATGTGCTGAAAATTCCATGCTGTACCACTAGTACTGTTTCTGGAATAAAGCAAATTATTATTATTATTTTTCATACGTTCCTTCCTTCCTTTAGGTATAAATTTCTCCTATCCCTTGGCTATTTATTACACTTGTACAAATAAATCTTTTATTTTCTTAATTCATCCTTTGTTATTTAATTACAGACTGACTCACACAAACACACGCAAACACGTATATAACCTTTTACCTTATTTTATCTCCCTTTTTGATATTATCACCTCACTCATGTGAAGTTTATTATCACAACCACATGATTGCATACACATATTTTGGACTGTAATCTACTAACAATCAGATCGCATGTATCTCTCAGATTTTTGATCTCAATCACTTTGTAACACGATTAGGCGAGACACGGAAGCCAAGGTATATTTTCAAGTCATCAAACAGACATTCATATCTAAACTGTTTATATTCGTCAACCAATCACTGAGCGTGTGATTTAGGTTTAAAGTTAACAACATGAAGTAGAATGTTCAATACATATGTATAGTATTCTCTTGCTAATGCACTATTGAACTGTGGGAATAGTATTCAGACGTTAACACCGACAAATGCAATGATTCTTACCGTGAGAATAATATATTGTTGGAACCCATTGTCTGTATCACACCACCACAATTTGACGTTATTTATAAAAAAACACTAGCGATGTCAGTGACAATTATCCTTCAACTATTTTAGGTATATAAATATAAAGCCTGATGAAGAAGTTATCGAAAAGAATATTTTATGTCCGGTAAATTTTCCACTAACTTCTTGAATGAGTAGAAATTCATTATCCCCACCACAACCTTAATGGCATTTATAGTTTTAACAATAGACACTATAAGATGCACACTTTAACTTACTGTATCAACATCCGTTTGTCCAGTTTTCACATCGGTGTTTTCATTCACTTGATTACGGACGTTCTGAAATATATTTGCAATACTATTACTATGTAGTAAAACACTGAAAGTCGGTGCTTCTATAAATCAATTTAGAAAACATTCAAGCAAAGTAATTACGTAGGATGAGTATCGAGAAGAACCACTACCCACCAGACTAATTCTGAAATTTGTGAATCACAAAATACACCGCGTTCGGATGCAAAAATAAATTTGAACAGTTGAAAGACTATGTTACCTTAATTTCATAAAGGAAAAAATAAATACCACATATTTAGATTTTGGTGTTGATGAAGTTATCTAGTTTGACAGTGAATCGTTCCTTTGTATAGATATGGCATGAGGGACTCATGTATTGGTAACTTTTACATTTTTTCTTTTGGTAAATTATGAGATTGGATTGAATCGACTCCGTTGACAGTGTAAATAAGCTTTTTGTAGATGCTTCTTCATGAATCAAATTTTGGTAGCGAGTAACAGTTGAAAGGAAGATGGAAATTTCATCTTATTTCATACTAGTTAAGTGTTGTATACCCCATATGTCAGTTATTTCCAGTGTGTTTAGAAACAGAAATTCAATGAAGGATTTCATCATGAGCTGACATCGGTTAGAGAACCATTAGAAAACCGGGGAGTACTGGATAGCTGTTTCATCCTAGTTTAGGACTCTTCATCAGTACTCACCCACCACAAGCGTCGGAGCCCAGGTTCTTCTGGTTACAAGGCGAGCTCGTAGACCATTGAGCCCCTAGGACACGATCCAATGGCCAGCTCATGAATTCCAACTTCTGCCAATTCACGATATAGCGCGACCACTAGTCAATGTCATCGGTGGTGAGTATTTGTCCTCATACCTATGTCAGCTCATGATGAAATCCTGTAACCAATCAAATCCCTGCGAACTAACACTTGAATAGAAATTAATCAGTTCAGATCTCAAAGTGACAATCACTAAGATGAAGTATTCACATCTGGAACGTCTCCCAAAAAATAATAATTTATTATTATGTACTATAGCAAACAAACAAAATAACAAGGGATTTAAGTAACATATTACTGAGAAGCTTTTAACTTCAAGAGGGGCTAAATTTTCAAGGACACTATTGGTTCAGACCATTTCAGATAGTCTCCTTGCTTAGAATAATTCCTCTATGTACCTACAACTCATGACCACAGTTGAAATCAAAAACATGGATTGTGTAAGAAGATGCGATCTGAAAGATTAATGATGGAGTCAACAAACCCTCTGCCTAGAAGTGGGTGGAAAATAAAAACAACCTTAAAATATTTCATACAATTACGATGACACCAGAACCCACCAGTAATAATTCCTTGACTTCTTGATAAATTGTGCGAAGTTCACTGAGCATTTCTTTTGTCTGGCCAAGTTTAATTTCTTCATCAAGACTAAAAATTTGAATTAATGTAAAATCCTTTGATTATAGCATTTGCCGAGTTGAATACTGAAATGTTCCAACTAAAAATTGTAAGGGACTGATGATAACTGTTAGAGGAATGAAATGTGTGATTGACTTAATGCCATGTAGGGCAATCAAGAAAGTATTCTAAAGAAATTACTAGACGACTTTAAAATTCAAGAGAGGAAAAGCCTGGTGATTGGTAGCCTTTGTTCGAACTATTACAAGCTAATGATTGATTCATTCCTCATCTCTTCGGGAGTTGAGTTGTCTATTCCTCAATTTGTTTAGTCTAACCGTTTTAGATACATTGATTCATAGACATTTATCACAACAGAGGGAAACAAATTTCCACGAGAATTCAACCCGGAAGACCAAGACGAACAAACTAAAGAAAAGACAACACAATTCCTGAAGAAGAAGAATAAGGGGAATGAATCGATCATTACCTCAGCATTGTCTGAGCAAATACGACCCTTAGGTTGCGTAATTCCTCGTTTATATGGTCTCTTGAAAGTGGACAAATACGATGTATGAATACTGCTAATCTTGGACACAGCAATTCCCCATACGATGCTGCTGCCAAGTGGCCCAAAGACATCCTTCTACTTGTTCCAAACTAATAAGCAGTGATCACTCACAGATGAATGTGTAGTCAGTCATAGGGTTTCACAGTAAGGGTACGGCTATTCAAACGGTGGACTGGATTCAAATCATTTTCCCTTCCCATTTCATGAGCATCATTTCACAGGTGTCATTCAATGTCTGCTCTTGATTCTAAAATTAGACGACATTAAAGGCAGCTGATTTTCATAAGATATTTGAAATATACGTACTGATCGACCGAACAGTCTTGTAAGTGAATGTATTTGGCTCTGTGGTCAAATTATTGTCTCTATTCCTTTGTTGTAAGGCCCATTTTCTGTCAAATTTGGTACTTATAAGCGTCATTATATTCATTAAAGGTCTACGAAAAATACAATGTTGATGGAATATAAATTAATCCTCTGAAAACCACTGGTTGAAAAACTTCGAATGTACAATTTGGAAGGAAAAACATGAATGCAACGGTCAAAACTCACAATACTTATAGTAAGTATTTATATTTTTTTCAAGACTGAAATAGCTACCTAAGCAATCCACTGTTTTTAGGCGGATTATTTATTTTATTTTAATCCTTTACGTTACCTAGTGGTAAAAAGAGCTTCAAACCTGAGCTTTGAAGGCTCAGTAGCAGTGTTTTCATTTTTACGAGGTGAAGTTGCTAGCTTCACACCCAACCTTCCCCCTTAATCGGACTTACTACATGCAAAGCGAGGTTTAGAAGTGTGTCGGTCAGGGGTCGAATCACCGACTACTTGCTTGGTCGATGAGCATTTCGCCACTCAATCACTGACGCTGCAAATAAACCAGAGATTCAATGAATAAAACGTCAATGTTTGTACGGAAGAATCATATGCCCAGTAGACAAAACACTGATTGCAGCGTAATAATGGGGAGTCGTTGGAATGTTGTTCGAAATGAATTTAGATCGATAACACTAAGTAGTTGGTCTTAAGCTAGACTGAACCAGTCCTAGTTTACTTGCCGATACTGAGACTGGAAAAGAGGGGGAGTTGTGGATGAAGCTGGAAACCCTTCTGCATAGAATAAGCACCATCGTTACTGAAACTTAGAAACATAGAAAACATAAAGAACCACGAGCACATTAATGGTGTAGCTATTATGTTGCTAGCAACTGTATTAACTGCAATCAAGCAGTGGGAACCAATCTTCTCCAGGATCACGATATCGAAATTCAAATCAAAAGAAAGGGAGAAAGGTGCCCTCATGATGCAATGATAACTGATAGGAGATAAAAGAGACCTGACAACATTGTCTAGAATAACTGGGTCACTATCCCAGAAGAGATAAGCACAGATGAAGCTACTGAGAGTGAAGGAAACCAGATTACAAAAGAGATGAAACAGATGAAATGGTAAACTGATCACTTCAAAGACAATCTAAACCGACCACCACACAGCTCATGCAGAATTAACATTGATAAAAACATAACTACCGCTGATCAACCCTTCGAAGAAAGCAAAAGTCTTGACGGCCATGCAGTTACTAAAAGCCAGTTGAGAGAGCACTATTACCAGATGGAATCTCCCCAGAAGCACTGAAAACTAACTAACCTAGAGATTTCAGATAATATGCTCATGCTGCTACTGCAGAATGTATGGAGGAAGGAAAAGTTCCTGACGACTGGAAAAATGGCTTCCTTGTCAAACTGCCAGAAGAAAGGTAGCATAATCCAATACAACAACTGACGCGGAATCGTACTTGTGTCCACCGAGAGCAAAATAATAATTCGTATCACAGCGGGTAGACTGATAGATGCCTTGGATGGAAGAATTCACTAGGAACAGGTTGCATTCAGAAAAATCAAGTTTTAGTTGAGCATCATTATAAAATCCACCCAAAGTGGCTGTCAGATATCTACCTCCACTTTTGGATTTCGCGGATGATGTATGTCTGCCATCTTACAAACCAACAAGTTGGCAGAAGAGGCAATACAGACAGGACTACAACTGAACTCGAGAAGATAAAGATTATGAAGATATCCAACCGTTAACAACAATGACAACAAACAAAAATCCCTATGGATAAAGAAATCTAGAGAAAATCGTATATTTGACCTACCTGACCTGGGTTTCACCGTTTCAACTATAGGCTGCACGGATGAGGAAGTCAAGGCCAGCCAGGAGAGGGGCTGGCGAGCGAAACAGGCGTCTGTCACTCTGAAATCAGTGTGGGGATCTACAGCACTCAGCACTGGGAATAATATCCGAATTTTCAACATTAATGTTAAGTCGCTGCCTCTATGTAGTGTAAATACAGGATAATCGTTTAAGTATCTATGGTTTGCTATTACTCGGCTGACAATTATTAAATAAAATTAATCCACTAACCTTTTACTTTCAACTTCTTGAGTTTTGGAATCTAAGACAATTTCAGAATTTCCCAAGTAACTTTCTAGTTTGTTCAATGTTATTTCGGGATCATCAATGTTATTATCATTGATATTCATAGGGCTTGTAACTTTCACATTCGAAGATTCCATTTGACTTTGGTGTCTAGAAGTATTCCTGGAGATTTTTGAGTTGTTGTAAGGTGAGACGACTGGCTTTTGTCTTGAGAAATTTGTATTTCGTTGCGATGACTCTAACCGTCTGTCTGGTAACTTTGATTCTGAAACAGTTTAGTTAAAAATTTTTAGTTGATTCATGTTTTATCAACTCAACTCAACTCATTAGTTCAAGTAAACAGTTCCCCTTATTGCCGTTTTAACACAAGCGATGAGATTTTACATCCTGGGTCTTCTCACGGTAATTAACAAGTTTAGTGACTCAATTTTTTTTAACCATAGTCATTATACACACTAAATTTAAGTTCCCTAATTGGAATACTTACCAGTCGCCTCCGTTTTGGTAACCTCATTCTGAAATATGTGAGGAAAAAAGTCAGACTCTAGCATCATGGCTGTGTTGTTTCTGTAAACTGCAGTAAGGTGTAACTATGTAGCTTATGTATTAGGATATGTAGCATATGTAATGCTAACTAGAGTAAACTAGATGTTAAATTAATTGAACTGTCCTCTGAAATGCAATGCTTTTGGAAAAGTGTCTAGTAAATCGAAGGAATTCATTTATACCTTCTCTGGCATGCATATGTAAATTGGTAACAGGCTTTCTTGATCGAATAAAACTCTGTTCGGTCATCAGCTGGAGGCTACGCAGTTTTTAAGTGTCACATTAAATTTTATATTCCATTTACACTTTCAAACGGAGTTCCAAATCATCTTTCACAAGGCTGAAGTAATCAGAATTCGTGTGTACTCAACAAAAGTTCTACTTGTCAGTGTTTCTCCTTTGGCTGGGGTAAACTTAAATTAAACGACCAAAAGTAGTTCACCCTTCTCCGATTATTCACGCGTTTCAGATATCTACTAAACTAATTCAAGCTTTGGTTACAGGATTTCATCATGAGCTGACACCAGTTAGAGAACCATTGGAAAACCTGGGAGTACTGGATAGCTGCTTCGTTAGACTAGTTTACGACTCTTCAATAGTATGCACCCATCGGGGTTCAAATCCGGGACCTGCTGATTACAAGGCGAGCGAGCTCGTAGACCATCAAGCCACTGAGATCCGATCTAATAACCGGTTCATGAAATCTAACTTCTGCCAATTCACAACACGGAGCGACCGCTAACCAATGTTTTCGGTGAGCATTTGTCCTCACACCCAACCTGCTGCACCCTACTGGTCACGACTTCCCACTGGAACCCAGGTAACTACCTACCTGAATTGGCGGAAGTTAGAATTCATGGGTCATTGGATCGGGTCCCAGTGGCTTAATGGTCTACAAGCTCGCTCGCCTTGTAACCAGAAGGTCTCGGGTTCGAACCCCGATGAGTGCATACTATTGAAGAGTACCAAACTAGGCTGACGAAGCAGCTGTCCAGTACTCCCCGGTTTTCCAATGGTTCTCTAACCGATGTCAACTCATGATGAAATCCTGTAACCAATCAATCAAATCCCTACAAACCAATACTTGAATAATTCAAGCTTTGATTAGCTACCTGATTTACTTTCATATTGTCCAACTTGTTATCATATCAGATTCTGATCTAATTTGATTATTGAAATGCTTGTATTATCACGATGTCTTCATTATTTACATCGTGCCGCCTACTTGTAGATTTGTCATTAGTATTGTAATAGCAGAAGGCGGGACACGGAAGCCAAGGTATATTTTCAAGTCATCAAACAGACATTCATATCTAAACTGTTTATATTCGTCAACCAATCACTGAGCGTGAGATTTTGGTTTACATTAAACGGCATGAAATAGAATGTTCAATACATATATACAGTATTCTCTTGCTAATGCACTATTGAACTGTGGGAATAGTATTCAGACGTTAACACCGTCAAATGCAATGATTCTTACCGTGAGAATAATATCACGTTAGAACCCACTGTCTGTATCACACCACTACAGTTTTATTATTTTCTATTTAGATCTAGTTACAAATCGATATATCACTTAGGTTTGCTTACAGAACCGCTAGTTTATCCCATGTCAAAGCACAATAATTGTATACCCTTTATTTCACACTGAAACAATATTGGGACCATATAACTTTGATTCTGCACGGGAGCACAACTGAACAGAAGTGAATTCCTAAATTGGAATAAAACAACTGTCCAGTGATATTCAAGACACAATTTCTCAGGGAAGAAACGTTTCCAGTTGCTTTTACGAATAGTTATTATTGTTATCATGCATTTCAGTAATAAGAGAGGTAAGTAAAAAATTTTAAAAATTCTAGATTATAACAATCCATTGACTACTTCTAAGTACTTTATTGAATATCTGTAAAAGCACTTGAATTATCAAAGCATATAAGCTTAATTGCGTTCAAATGTACATAGAACAGACATATCCACACTTTAAAGCTTACTTAGATTTAACTTCACAGATTGTTGATTAGGTAATGCTTTTTGTTTCATTTGGGATCTTATTGGTATATTTCTATATTTTGATGTTTCTGTAGACGTTGGGACAAGAAATTTCCGTTGTGATAGATTCTGTCGATTTAATTTTTCCAAATGTTCATCAACATCACGTTCTGCTTTACTTGGAGTAGACGGTAAAGTTTTATTTGTGCAGTCATTTTGTAACAGAGATAAACGATGCTTTATATCATTAAGATTATCCTTTGAAGGGATAAAACACATTAGGGAAAATGGAGAAGTGAAATTTACGAACTTAGAGAAACCAACAAACACATATGTGTCCTTAAGTTATCCTATAAAGAGCATGATTGGAGACGACTTGATGTCTTTGCATTCAGTTATTCTTAACACCACGACTAATATTCCCAAGTTGAAAAATATTATCAGAATTAGTTGAGATTTATAACACTACGAATCTAATTAGGCAGTTACTTTAGGCTAACAGCTAAGGCTGATAATGCAAGAGTTTTCTGACAATATGTGGCTAGAAACTAGAAAGCCGACAGATTGGGAGAGAATTTCGACATCTGATATACTAATTGAAATTTGAATGTTTAAGTCAGTGGAGTGAAGTGAAAAAGTACATTTTCAATTGTTGGTTTGTAGGGGTTTTAACAGACTTCAAGTTCAATGTCATCACGAACCTATATCAGCTAGAGAAACACTGTGAACCAAGGAGTACTTGCATCTGTTCCGTTTTAATCTAGGATACTTCAGAAGCCCGCCACCATCACTCAACCAGGAATGTAAAACATAATTTGTTAAGAACAGCTGTGGATAAAACGGAATTGAAAAGCTCTATTACTTGGCAGTTCCTTTCGAAAACTTGAAATTTCTGAATAATCTGGTACAATAACATCCAGGAGATGTTACACACTTTATTATAGTCTAAAACAGCAGTCGCAGTTACAAGATATGAAGCAATGATTTCTATCCCATACTGTGCTTGTCGCATACATACTTTAATTCTGATATGTATTTAGTTTGTGATTTAATGTTGAATTTTTAAGGTTAGTAATATACGAAGTAATACAGAATTTATTAATTTACAGGTTCCACAACAGGCCAGGGTAACAATAGTGGCTGAACCTGTTTTCTTCATACCCGGAGCTTATGGTGTTTTAAGCGAATTGAAATGGCCTCTGCTATTTCAAGTCTTAAGTATCTGGAGGCCTCTGGTAATCTATTCAGTACATCTTTATTACGTTTAAATCAATGCGTCAAAAAGATGTAACTTATCATATCATCAGTGAATTATCACTTTTACCAAAAATAACACAATACTTACCTGTAGTGATTTTTCATCAACAATCGGTTGTGTTTTCTTTGGACTGTGTATAGGGCTTTCAGACTCCGGAACACACACTTTAGCACGACATGGTACAGTACATGATTGACAACAATCAGGTTTAGAAACCCATACCTCAGGTGGAGTTATTAATCTTGGTGTTATTGTGTTATAGGCATCATTTAGTGGTAGAAGACACTTTCCTCCAACAAGTTCATGACAGAAACAGTCACCATTTTCATTCACAGATGAACGTGCATATTTACAGATTTCTTCTAACTGCATGGACAAGTCTTTAACCTGAGAAACAAAAACAAAAAAACAGTTACTTTCTGAATAAAAACCCATCAAAATAATTTACTACTTAAAATTATATCTAAATAGCCTGTTTAAATTCAGTTAGACTGTGAGCTCGGGATAAGGCAGTACAGCCTGAAATGATAACCAGCCGTACATGTAAAGTAGGTACAGTAAATTTGGAATTCTTGACTAAATTACTTGCCGTTGAATATCATGAAGAACGATTTCAACTCTACTTGAAGTAGGAAAGGTCTAGGCCACAGTTTAACATAATTCGCCCTTCATAAGTAGTATGATGCCTTCAACGAATGCCATTATACTTAGTGTCAGTAAAATATGGATGCTAAGTATTAATCGATTTATTTTGTTTTGGCCATTTGTCATCAAACAGCATATGTAAAAGGGATTTTAATACACAGTTTGGTACTGTCTCTGTAAGCTGGACCTTATTTATCGAAGCAAAGTAAATATTAGTTGTCAGCTAAAAGGGAGACAATCGCTTACTTATGGGTAATCAGTGTCACTGAGTATTATAACAATTGTAGTCGTGTGTAAGTATTAAAATTCTACTCGGAGTTTTCATGCAGTGATACCACATATTCATAAGCTGAATAACCAACTTCTGGTACATTTCAGTGACAGTTAAGTGATGTTTGCTACTGCTTTATTTTCAAATGACTCCATTTTCTCATAAAGCTGACTTGTTAGAATTTAAAAGTGAGGTTTTAATGTCTCAAGTGCGCCTAACGTTTGACTGAACTGACATCAATAGTTTCTTTAAACACAGGTATGACAGAGTGACCTAACAGCATACACTACAAATCTCTGGTATTAAAAACAGAGTCAGTTTTCCATATTCAGCTTTAAGTATTTTTGATGCAAAGATTCAGGTAAGTAAGTTCTCTTAAAACATATTTGATTCTACTGAACACTGAAACGGTCTGTAGCAAAGACGAAATTCTGTATTCCGCTTATATAAACATCCCAACTATCGTTGTGATAATTTGCATTAAATTACCTCAGAATGACATTAACATTTAGAAAAATTATCAAGTTGAGTATATACTAATTAAAAAGTTCATTTAAAACAAACCAATTCATCTTGCTACTTGCAAAATTCGTATTGATTTCATTAAAAGCCCGGCTACTTTTCAACACTTAGAGTATTCTTTATAATTGAAACATATGGAACTGTCTTGATCCAAACATATCGACCCTTGCTTGACAAACCGTGAAGCCTCCCTTCAAGTATCTTCATCTTACAAGACTTCTTTAATCGATGATCAGAGCCGTAAAAAAAATTGCATAGACCCAATTTGTATCACATGTAGCGTAAATTCTAGCTGATTGATCTATGATGATTTTAACAACTGTGGCAGTTTAGAATCAACAACTACACATAAGGAACTAGTGAAGCTGAGATATCAACCATCAATTTACTAAAGCCTGTTCGACAGGTATTGTGTGGGTATAACAGTTAGTATTGGAACTTTTCAATTCATACCATGCTTACAAATGAATGTCTATAATTATGATTACTTACTTGTTCCTTTAAATCAAATGATTCTTCATCATGAAGTATATTCTCCTGATCTTCAGTATTATTATTAAAAATCTGACTGTCGACATTTGTATGACCGAATCCGTTATCAACCGATGGTTGGTTAACATCACTGCAATTGTCATTTAAACAAATCGGATTTTCAAAAACCACTTTTCTGTATTTAAGGATTAGGGTAAAAATAGGGGAAGAAATTTATTACCGGCTTGCAAGTTTTGACTTTACTGTTGTTGCTGTTGGCTGTTTACTTCGTACGACACTAATCACACCGTCTTTGTTCTTTAGACGTATATTCGAAGGAATATAGTCGGTCATCACTATTTAGTGCTGAGCCTGAAAGAAAAAGAAAGATAGTTGTTTTTATATTATAGAAACTGAATTTTGTAGCTGGGAGAAATGGTCATCATCAAAGCAATGGGTTTATTGCCAGGTTCAATAGAATCTTTAAACTGTAATTTTTTTAGGGACATAATGCAATTTGTAGAATACATTTTGGTGACAAATTCATTCAATTTTTTCTAGTTTTCATAGCATGTAATATTGAGAACATTCTACCCTAACCCTTAGAGAACATTATTTGAAGTTAATTCCAAGTCTACATACCAAATTAGATGCCTCTTAGGGTTGTTAGTTTACTGACTGCAATGTCCAGTAAAATACGACGTGACTGATTAACAAAATAACGTGAAACTTCTAACAGAAGTGAAAAAGTTTAATGTACCAAATTTTTAAAAAGCATAGAAGGAAGATTTGTGGAAGAGAGAATAATTAGATGAACACTGACGATTTCCACTATCCGGAAGACGATAGGAAGAACATACACCTAAGTCACTGGTAATGGCTCAGAAATGTTGCATTTCGAAGACTGAGGAAAGGCGTTCCATATGTACCTTTATGGACTGATACTATATTTTGCCCTGTTCACACGTTATTCTTCTCCACATCAACTCTGCTTCAGTTAACATTGCTCGTCAAGGACAGACTGCGCATAAAATGTTCATGAAAAATATGTTGGCTAAAGCGCTCGTGTTGTCGGAGATAAACTTATTTGGTTAATACAAGGACTAGCAGAAGAGTGTGTTAGCTCCAGATAATACAGTAATGCACGTAAAAACTTTGTAAACATTTTGGATCTGATTCATGTAAATGCAGTTTTTTGTATGACCGAAATAGATCATCTAGTAGCCTAGTAGAAATGATATTTATGATCCAAAGTATGTGAAGAGCAATTCACCATTACTACCGTTGTTACGACAAAAAATTGAGACTGTTGCTAAGATTTATGGCGAATACTAAAGCTTATAAACTAAAGCGAAATACGTATGACCTCTCTCACATAAGTAACATGTAGATGTAGTTAACACCAGGAAATACTATTAACAGCTTGTTACGTAGACAGCGACAAAATGAATGTCAACATAAAGAGTTTTTCACATAGCTGGCTGCCTACAGCTGATGACCACCAAATCTAAGATTAATGGACATTATCTTGTTCAGAAGGCATGTGTGTTAACTCAGTTAACATAGATACATGCTTTAGTCAGCTAAATTAAAATGCACTGGCAAGGGATTCCTCCTTCTTTTGAAATGGATGTTAAGACTTTAAACAAGAATAGCTGTTCATCACATAATACTTCATGAAAGTTGATTATGTTCCATAAACTTGACAGTAACATAAAGCCGAATGAACTCCAAGAACAACACGAAGCCTGAGAAAGTCATTTTATGGAATTCAGTGAACCTTTGGCAAGGGATCTGGTAAAAATATTAGATTCCTGTAATCCTAGTTAGTCAGGCATAATTTTTGTAAGTAAGAGCAGGAACTAGTAATTTATGCCTGACTCTTCCAATTGGTATTGACACATATAAGTGGTGAGTTGTTTCTTCGCCATACAAGTGGATTTTCCAGAATCGCGAAATTTCTTATGGCTCTTCAGGTTGACTTTTCAAACATCTAGTGGGAGCTAGGAAGTGACCATGTGGATACTCCTCAAACAGTTGGTGCATTTTACCAAAATATGTCGAGGTATAACAACCATGTACTGAAATGCATGTCTTAACTTACATATCATTGGGGGAACTTCATCTCTCCAAATTCAAATACACAGCTACCTAAAACTAATGATGAATGACAAGTGAAAAGTCACTTGCAACGCACAAACCCTTTAATATCACCATCAGTGGCCAGCTCAGTTCTTTACATTATCATAAGAATGTGTGGAAATTATTTAAAACAAAACATTCATGATTCCTGGCATTATTAACTGACCATACGAGATGTGAACTTACAGGGCGAATAGTCTTTATTCATAGAACCATCGGCGAGATTTATGTGACATACAAGACTGTAATACCCAGCTAGCTTTTTCTTCGGGCGTAATGCAGAAAGTGGGACAGCTACAGTCTACCTCAAAGTGTCTGCAATGTACCCAAAGTCAATGTTAGCTGGGGTTGGGTTTCCTACTTATCTAATGGAACTGGACATTAGAGAAAGAGAATAACTTCAGTTATTCTTTCTAATTAGTACTCGGTGTAGTTAAAGTATCACATCAAAAGTCAAGGTCTTTCAAAATTTGACTTTCAAGAACCGATCAGACACAAGGAATTCTATGAAGTACCATTCCAAATCAAATCATGCCTGACTTTTTGGACTTTGAGAGGATAGATACAGTATTCTACTTATTTACTAGGTATTTTTTCAGCAAATCTATACTGTTAGGTATGGTTATGGCTTTTAAGGTTTAAGTTCAGGGTCTAGGGTCAATGTTAGGTTCAGGGTTAAAGTTAGGGTTAGGATTTGGGATGATGGTAAGAGTTAGAAGTAGGTTGGAGAATAGTGTCGGAAGTACCAATGGATCTCGAAGTACCATGACCTACAGTCACCTGGATGAATGGATATATCGTGTATGATATGATTTCTGTATACAGAGAGATATTATTACAACACGTAAGACAAGGATTTTATTTTTTTTCAGCGATTATGCGACTTTTTTTGTATCCGAATGCTGATTGATTATTCAAGGCCGCTATAGTTTGGCGATGATAGTTTAACTTCGCCTAGTACTCATTAGAATTCATATGGAAGTGATTAAAAAGCATTTTCAAGTGTCTGTATTTTAACAGTCGTACTGCCCAAGCTTAACATAGTGCTGAATTAAATCTAGCGAATTCTGAACTAACTCTAACATTCTATAGTGAGTAAATGATGAATCTGTTCTGAGGGGGTTTGTTTAAGCGCACAGACTAGAACTCATTGATGGTTTTCAGCATGACTGGCACTGATTCAGTACCCTGATTTTTTTCTAGGCATTTTCAGTAGATCAGAACCTACTGAGTTTGCTTATCAGCGTTGTTCCAGACCTCTCAGTCCATATTCATCACTGACTGGCATTAGTTCGGAACAACAAGACTTATTTCAGCGCACAGTGGCAATTTTTCAGTTTTATTTCAGCACTGAAGGCATTATTTCTGGTGTAAATCCTATTTTTAGGGTTTCATCGCATTAATTGAGCGTTCTGTGCTCTTCCTGAGGACCACCGGCGTTATTTCATTGCGTAGTGGGTTCATTTCAGGTAGATAACATGCCCAGTTACCAATGAAAGGCATTTTCGACGCATAAGTTTGAAATAGTCTAGTGGCAGGACGAGCTACGCAGAAGTTTACCGAAGATCAGGAACCTATACCTCAAAATCAAGAGGCGAGCACTACCTCGTAAAAACGATATTGTATATTGGAATTATTGTAAGTTTGGATGGGCAAAAAGACAGCAGAGGAGACGTCCTGACTTGTCAACACACACATTGAAATTTTTTAAAACTTTATATTTGACGATGCATTGTCAAATTCATTATGATGTATAATGAAAACCGTAATATTTCACTCGTGAGTGAAATTATAACTGCAGTTATGAAACTAAAAGCGTGTCAAAAACTTTTTTACATAATGAAAATGTGCCTGAAACATTATGCAGCGAACAAACTTTGTGTGAAGATCCCGATGTCCTTCGTCAAAACATCGGATTCGAGTCCTAAATTCTTGATCGTCAGGATATTACTACTACGTAACCTAACATGATGCCTAAAATATTACAGAAAAAAGTTTTATTTTCATTGTTCATTCATTATTCACTTTAATAAAAAAACAAAAGTCCAGCAGGTAGTTTGCTAAAAACAAACCATAAAAATAAATACACTTGGAAATGTGCGAAACCTAAAATCTATGTTGACAGCACAAATGACAAATACAAACAAGAAAATGTTCAAGTGAGATTATCATAATTCCTCTTCACCTGATTAAGGTTTGTGATTAAGTATGAATCGGAAAATTTTAGAAAGGCGTTTTATTTCTTGTTATCTTTCATCAGCTTTGTGAGATTTTCTATGATCACAGAATATTTGATTTGTTGTGCATGTTACACCAAAAACTTGTAATGGTACCACACCCTGAGATTTTTTAGTTATAATTCACTTCTTTTTTTTCTGTAAGCATCATGTGTGATGCATGAATTATGGTCGGCTCACCTCTTCAGTACTGCTTGTTTTGATTGTTCGTCCCCTTTAGAAGTTGTGCAGTATGATGACTGCAGTAAGTTTTACCGGAGTTTGAGCGATGGATTAATTTTAACTGATCATAAGTGGAACTGTAAGATAACATCCCGTAGGATTCTCAGGATACTCTATTCCCTGGTTGCACCTTAAGGAAAGAGGTCAGTGCATTTATCTCAAATTTGTGGGACTCACTAGTAGTGATGTAGGATGACGGGGCGGCACAGACTGGACTTCTGATGACCGTGTATCTTGTCATTATGAAAATATTCCTTCACTTGTTTTTGGACGCACTAAGTGAAGAAACTAAACGAAATTTTCGAAATGAGTAGATTTAGTTCGTGTTTTTGATACGAACTGCTATTATTTAGTTCTACTTACTTTGTAACGTTTAGCTGCATTCAGATGCAACTGAATCTCTGACAAAAAGTTACCCAGAAAAACCTGTTGATCTGCTCATAATAACGCATTAAATTGTGTCTAGAACATATTAACTTGATTTATTTCATTGGCTAGCTGATCTCAAACTGAGGTGATTCTGGCTCTGCAGCCTACGCAATGCATTACTCTGGAGTGGGCACTAAAAAACGGACTGGAGTATGGAAAGTATTAGCTGATAGTAGCCCAGACTTCTTTTTTTTATTTACAGCTTGATTCCACACCGTATTTTCAGTACAAGTGTGGAATTTTCAGTATGGATATCGGCAGCCCAAATTCAGGCCGACCATAGATATCAGGTGTGCGCTGGTTGGCGAGAGTCCTAACCACTGTGCCACCGACGCACTGGGTTGTTTAAACAAAATACTCAGTTGTTACATAAGGGATACAGTCTCCATGGAATCACCATATCCACAAGTCGTTACTGGTCACATTTAGAAGGAGAAATTTAGAAATTGTCAATCACCACTACTAGTTTGAAGCTTAAATGTTATCAG